TCAACCTTTCTTGTCTTCCTCCTCATGTCTTTCTCTTTATGTTCCTCCAAATGGGCAACCAAAAGACAGCAATGAAAACCGGCGCACGATAGTGCGTGGTTAATGGTTGTACAAACTGAACATGGATGTGGTTTTGTGAACACTGGACAGCTCTCTCCTGAACTGAACAAACACTGTTGTCCTTCCTTTACTCTTATTCGGTCCTGAGTCACTATATCCGCAATGGGAGTTTGGCAGGTAGGTCAACCACTCGATCCAGTGTCAATGAGTTTTACGATCAAACCGCAACAACGACAACTATCCATTATTATTTTTTATTACACACTTAAGTGTGATGAAGCGCAGTCACGAGGACCTGTTGTTCAGTGGTGCAAAGCGGCAAGCTAAGCCCCGGGACTTGGAGTGGCGAACCACATAAGGCACCGATAGGTTAGGCGTAGTATTGAAACGCCGCCACCAAAGTTGGGTGGCGATGCTCGATCCTCGGACCACAGAGTTCAAAGGATGCTGAGAGCGACTAAACCACTGCGCGAAATTGAACTCTAACGGATAGATGTGTGTCAGAGAGAGATGAAGACGGCAAAAAAGTAGTAATTAGTAAGAAATCACCGTATTTCACTTACTTTGGGTACGAATCCGATCGATTTGACTGTTGTGACGTTGAATTTGCGTGGTTAGTTGACGAGTGCGTTCCTCTAGCTGATTTCGGTCAGCCAGTTGATGTGAAATGCGATCCAGCTCGGATTGTAATTTAGACTCATTTTGACGTGCCCGTTGCAACTCAAGTCGAATGTGCTCGGTCTCCGCGGACACTGCAGATTGTTGATCTGTCACACCACAAAGGAAAGAACGAAAACTGAATACCACGTCAAACTGATCGAAATAACGTTGTAGTAGCTAGTTGGAAAGGGTAAAGAAAGTTGTTTACATAATAATTAAACACGATGGATAATGAGTTCATTATCATCCATTCTTAGCAACAGACGATGAGGAGATAAACGTGGTTGGTTGACAGGAGAAAGCCTGCTGGATATACGTCATCCACGACATGTGGGTGTTACGAAAACACTAGATAGTACTTCTGAAGTCATGACATCAAACACGAGTTCCTTAAGCAGAAAAAATCCCCTTGATCCCGATAAATTTGAACAGTAGACGCATTACTGAACGAGATTAACAGCTACTGAGTTAGGCTTTCAGTGGGTGAATGTGTGCCTCCGAAAGCCTCAGTATGGTCGGGGTGGGTGTCCTGGGTTGTGCCTGGTCACCCCTCTATTGTACCTCACGAAATGCTCCCATATGTTGAAGCATCTCAAACAGCCCCTACTGAGGAAACCCTACTCACTGCCTTCACGTGGCGGAGGTGTTTTCCCATCAAATTGAGGGGACGAAAAGCCAATATCCGGGGCGGTAAATCCCTGGCAGTTCACCCAGGGGAGTGGGCTAAAAACCCTGATTTCAAACTGTGATGTGTCAACGTCAATTATGCCATCGATCAATTCTCCGTCCCAATCGCCGGTGCTTATCTCTCAGACGAAGACCAGTGTTACGTCACCCACATATACATGCACACGCAAGTGCTCACCCGTTCACACACGCACACAGACACCACGACTCATTCCTATCGGTTGACTAACTAACTAACTAACTACGGGTTAGCTTGATTGAGACTGTAACACAAACCAACCCAGAGGAGGAGCACGAATCAAACACCTTCCTGGCTGTGACAGTGGTCACCGGCTTCACTGGGCATCGAGGTATACTGGGCACCTTGGACGTTCGAACCCGTCTAAAGGGTGTATTATCCGATGTACTGGACACCGGCCTTCAATGGGCTGCGGTTTTCACACATCGCCCTGTTGGCTTGCGGGTCAGGCTTTCGCTAGCCGAAGGGTCTTGTTATGGATTCCTTGGCTTTCGCCTGGACAACCTGGTAGTACTCCACTCATAAACAAATCATGGACCTTTTCTTTTTATAAAGATGATTGTATACTATGATCTGTTTGGCACAGTCTGGATTCAGACGTGTGTGAAAATACAAATACAGATGAATGTGCAAAAGCCCGACAGATGTACTAAAAGTACAAAATTTAGTAAAAAGAACGAGGGAGACCTAGCGGTACCGCGTCAGATTTCTAATAATNCAAACACAGTGGATACGATAGAGAAAGAACAAGATTGAATTTTAGTATGTGTCCCGTGACCCTATAAAGTGTGATGCATTCAGTACAATTCGGATTCCTTCTTACAAGAATAGCATATGTAATGAGTACGCGTGTGCAAATGTATTTTTGGTTATCCGTCACAACTCAAGCACACAACATGAAAGCGAACGAGAAAAAAGCAATGCTTATGAAACTAAGCAGTGATCCGTGAACTAAATGTGCTAATGTATGGTAGGAAAACGTGGAATTTGCGGATTGGGGTTTCGAAACGGTAAGGCAAGGGGTGTTTAGGCGGGATACACAGACTAGATGTATGTCGAACAGTTACATTTCAGTATAAGCCGAAGGGCCAATTTCGAATTCCATATTATTGCCATTGCAATTGTTATCATGAGATGAAAGCTAACCAGCTTCGTCAGAATAAGGGGCATCGAATGGAAAAGCTATGTCATTACAAACGAAATACGACAATCTTGGGCCAGCTGCGATAAAGATGCATCGTCGTCGACGAAAAAAGCTTTAGATTTTGGTATTTTCATTGCGATCAAAGTAATCAATACAGCTCGTATGATTGATCAAGCAAGATACAGTATTCTTCAGGCTTATTGAAGCTCGTATTGCTTAAAGTGATTCAGTAAATAATGCTACATTTTCATTAAAACAAGATACTTTTTTCCAATTTATTTTTAATAAATAAACAATTATATGAACCATCTTTTAGGAGTGAGGAAGCGGTTAACCAGAGCTACCACTCGATATGAAAACAATGTAGAAATTAGGCGGTGTAGGTGGAGTTCGAACGCAACCATCGGTGCGATAAGTTGGTGATACGAGCTAGTTGACCACCACTTCCAAGGTTTGTGAAAACAGAGATCAGTCAAGCAGCAGATTTGAACGTGTTTGTTGCTGAACCATGGCAGTTACAATGTGCAGGATAGTGTAAAAATTCACTAATCGTTGCGGATAAAAACGAGGTTCGACTGAGACGAAAATTAGCACAGATATGACTACCGTTGCCAGATTATGTTTCTTCAACTGGGGTCGATCACAACATGTGCTACTGGGTAGTCATCATACAAGAGGGCAGGGAATAATGTGACTACGGTACAAAACAACTTGACAGTTATCACATTTTTGACTCTTGCTCGGGAGTGAAGCGTGAGTCTTTTTACGTTATTCCACGGGCAGCTCATCCGTCGTCAGCAGTTATTACTAATCGGTTTAAAATACATTAAACTGGTCACTTGGTTAGGTCTTTTACTCACAAGGAGATGCATATTGTTTAAAGGGGAACAATGTTCAAAGCGACTGATAAATCTATTCGACTGCACATCTTAGCGTGAAGAATAGTGGGTGTGAACCACAGAACCATGAAGATCTACTGTTCGGATATGGGAACTGAGGTCGAAAAATTTAGAAATGCGAAGCGCACAAATTTTTGACAGAATTGGTGTGGTATATTGAGTCGAGTGTTAGCGGAGCTAACTCTACCATGGGCAAAGGTGCACCTCATGGTCCCGACGGCCAAATGCTCGGTGATTGAAAACTATCAATCTGAGCTTCGGAACTTGACGTGGTGAATCATACGTTGTCCTAATGGAGTGGACATGATGATGAGCAATGCAACAACGAAGCTGAATTCCAACAAATCAAGACGTCGGATCGGACACATGAAATCAGATAAACTGGTGCATCCTAGTCACCACGACGATCGATCCCACACATCCACTCAAGAACAACCGATTGAAATCATTATCTGTTGAGGTAATAACCTGCACGATTCTATCAATCGATAGTCACGTCTAACAACGCGGATCATTTGGCAGAGTTTTCGGACCATTGGATGCTTACCACCCAAAATAAGATTGCTGCATCACAAAGTTCAACAACACGCGATTAAGTGTACCGACTTCTTGGAAAGATAGTTTACCCTCTGAAGAACACGAGGTTATATGCCTGACAAAAATCATTAAACAGGAGATTAATATGACTTTAACACAGCCCGCAGCTTTGACAGTCCCAGCAAGGGCGCGCGAGGATGTTTTGAGTCACAACTTATCACCTTTACCTTGCACTTCATTACATGAAAAGGCTTCTCGCATGGCCTCTGTTGGGGAGGCTTCAAATTAATTACACCTTCAATGTTCTGACTAAGATCATGACTTAAATCGGACAGCATGAGCATCTGACCTCGTACAAAGGAATACGATCAGATGAACTGGACACCAGCCTCTAATGGATCGCGATGTGCAGAAGCCATCCTGCGGCCTTCTGGGTTTGACTTTGGTTAGCCGGAGGATCCGGTTGCGTAGCTCTTAAAAAACCACCCGCTTTGGCCTGACTAACCTGCCCACTAGATTAATTTTCTTGGAGAATTCACAACCGGAGTCTTCAGCTAGCCAAAGCCTGACCCGGAAGGTAGCGGGGCGGTGTGAAAGCCGTAATCCAATGAGGAAGGCGGTGTCCAGTACATAGGGTTATACGCCCTTTGGACAGTAAAACGTTCAAGGTGACCAATAAACGTGTCCAATCAAGCTGGTGACGCCTTTCGCAACCAGGAATGTGTGGGTGGTCGGTTCTTTTGCCTCTTCTGGGTTAAACCAACTCCCTTAGGTTCACCTACCCGAGTACAGTTCAGGACGTTAGCGTTTCGTCCTCTCACTTTGATGAGAAAACAACGCTACGAAAAGGCAACGAGTAGAGCTTTCTCAACAAATTTTTCAAGAAGCTGATGTCCTCAAGTCTCAAGCTTTGAAATGGATCCGCGTGGATGCAATAAATCATGAACATCGGACACTGACAGATTCAGTTTTAACACTTACTCTGCTGAAAACTGTCGAGCACAGATTGCAAGTTGGTCAGATTAGTTTTGAGTGCAATAATTTCTTTCTGGCATGCATCACTCCTGTGACGCGCCTCATCCCTTTCGGTTTGTGCCTGATGGACCCGTTGCTCTGCGGTGCGACTGGATTCCTCCAATTGTGTCAATTTGTCGTGCGCATTGTGCAGCTGGGAGCGCAAATCCACTTCACGTGCCTCAGCATTCAAAGCCTCTGCGGTGTAGGATTCCTCCATCTGAGATAAGACAGATATCGAAAGGGAAGTGAAAAAGGGACCAAACATTGTGTAGATTATGTGAATTCAAAAGGGTACACTTGTCAACCTTATGCCATGATTGCATTCGTTACACCGTGAGAGACGAAAATGGGCAAAATATTTGTTTTGTCCACACTCCTGCTCCAAGCGATTCGAACAATTTATCCACCTACTGCTTCTCGCACCGGACTGAGGATCATGACAGCAACAGAAGCAAAAGCTGTGGGTAAATGGTAGCAAACTTGTGCAAATCGAAGAACCCTCAGTTAATTATTGAGTGTTTGAGGCTTGAGATCCTGGATCTAGCATAACCAGTAATGTCGATTGTTCAACCAGACGAAACTAGGGGAATATGTAATTATTTGTACCGCAAAGGATTGTATTGCTGAGTGAATTGCGACAATAAATCTTCCCTATTTCTGTATTTTTCCAGGCAGCCTTTCTATGCCCGCGGCCCCCTTTCTGAAAGTTGTATGTTCAATAAATAAAAAGGAAGTAAAACGACACATTTTAAGTTCGTAGGATTGGGACAATCGAAGAGAAACACAAAACGGAGAACGCTCTAAATCACAAAACCTCCTTCTTTGAGTGTCGGAGTGGTCTAATTTTCGGTAATCTGCTTGCATAACAATGGGTCCAAGAGAAATCTGTGCACAGGAACCGTTTTTCACTTGCCATTTTGGTG